TTTCGACGTCCTGAGTCCGAATTTGAAGTCCTTTTTCCAAATTCGCACCCGGTAAGCTGTTTTTCAGTGATTTATCTTCGGATTCAAATTGATTTATCAATTAAGTTCAATTTCTGACGTAAATTTGTTTGCTATGTATCCGAGGAATTATTGGACATTGAATTAAAGTTCGAGGGTGATCGAATGGAGTTTAAATGGTCGATCGATATGGCATGAAAATTGAGGTAATACTCTACTACCTTTATATGCTTTTCGAAACTCATTGATAGATGTAAATGCATAAATGGAATGATTGGTAAATAAGATGTATTTAACTATCATCGGACTCATACGAAAATTGGAATAAAGACATAACAATATATATAAGACTCATACGGTTTTAAAAAGAGAAATTGGTAGACTGATCGGAAACAAATCTAAGTTCAATGATTTAATCAATCAATTAATCAATCAATCTCAGGACTTATAAACTATGATTAATCTAGTTAAAGGTTAAATGTCGGGAATTATGTGGATAAGAAATTATCTAAAATAGCCCTAAGGGGTAAAATTACGAAAATTCTCTTGTATTGTAAAAGACCAAGATTTTCTCGGAAGGTGAAAAATTACTACGAAATGACATACTAGATCAATTATCAGAAAAACTGCATAGGATTGAATTAAAAGGAATTACTGAAATGTCCTCGAGCTTCGCAATAACTATAATAATCTCCAATGATCAAAGAACAAAATACCATGAACGCTAAAGGAACTAGAATTCATTCAAGCCTAATTTATCGAAAGTATAAAACTGATAGAATTGAGTGGAATGTTGATGATACGCTTAAAGAGTAAAAACCACAATAGATGGCTATGATAAGGGAGACAACCTAAGAACTTATTTTTTGATCCACTTAAACCTTGGAATCATCAATTTAAAATCCGAATCTATATTGGAGTTATAGAATTGCTCCTAAAGTGTAAAATGACCAAAATACCCCTAAAGAGTAAAATGACCTAAAGTATCTCCAAGTCATGAAATAACTAAATACCCTCAAGCTCTGAAATGATTAAATCAACCTAGAATACCATAATGACTTTTTTATATGACCAAATTGAACTGAACGAAAGTACCATATGTATCTGAATTTTAGAAACATCCAAATTATTCTGGACAACTCCGAATTGACTTGGATAGACATGATTACTAAATGAACTAAGTAACCTCAATAACTGAGGATTTAGTAAGTGATTTGGATAAGTCTGGAAACGTTGATGAACTTACATGATGTATTATCCCTATGGGTTATGAACCACGAATTAAGTTCGTCAACAATTCATGATATTGTTGCAATGTGGAAATTAAATAAAAACCATTGGAATATATATTCGTCTCTTAAAGAACTATTCAGCGGTTATTCTGAAGATGATATATGGACAAGAATTATTGGTATTTAAGAGTGAATACCCTGGAAGGGCAACGAATTGACCAATCGACATGCATTAGTTCTGGGAGTTGTTCAGCTCGAGTTAACTCGATTTTTTGATATATCGACACTGATTGCAAATGTCCTGAATCTTCGTTTCTCCCTTATCATCTCAAATCACTCCGGTCATATCTGAAAACACAAGTAACTCATATGCAAAGGATCCTGAATACCATATTTAGTTTAATTTGACTTAAAATCCTGATAATTAAATTCATAATCTTGAATACCCCTGATTGTTTGAGTAATGGAATCACTCTCTGTAAATCTGAATCTTGAATTATTCTGATGTAAATGTTCCTGAACATTATCCTGATGCACCTGAATCATAGCGGGATTCTAAAGTATCAACTTTAAATATCTGATTAGATCCATTAGTAATCAACCCCTTTCAATATGGCTTCGTTCCTGGAATCCGATCAAAGTATATAAGTTTCATGTTTTCTTAATAACTGTTCAGTGCTTCTGAAAAATATTTGCATCCTCTAGTGTGTTCCTCATGTACTACATGACGATTTTATATGTTTTGAAATGAGTTTTACCGAAATTATTGATTTACTGGTTTATGAACCATGACAACATGGTATGTGTTCTCTGATTACGGTTTTCACTGAAAAAAATATGATTGCTCCTGATTTACACAATCATGGAATTTACTAGTTTATGAACTATGGTTTCATGTTTTCATTGGTTACTACTTGCAGTATTTTATTGAGACATTATCTGGGTAGGTTGAAGGTTCAGCTCTGATCAAGCTGGTAAATCCTTATGAACTTAAGGTGATCCTTGGGTAGGCTCTGAGGCCCCGAGAAACTTTCTTGGGTAGGCTCTCAGGCCCCAAGGTACTCCGTTGGGTTAATCATGGGAGTTCTTATGGTGTACAGGTGGAGATCAGTTATATGGTTTATTTTATTATCACGTTTATGAGATATTATTGGATCATGATCCATATATTACGGTTTATTGTTAAAACTGATTTCTACTGGATTTTTATATGGGTATAATTCTGGAGTATGGAGGTTCAGCCCTAATCCAGCTGGTAAATCCTTACGGCCTTAAGGTGACCCTTTGGTAGGCTCTCGGGGCCCAAGGCATCCCCTTAGGTTGGCTCCCTTTGTTGTGTGCTCAGGGTAAACCCTTATGGATGCAGTTCTAGGGAACTGCATAACGGTGTTCGGTTGGAGGGTTCTACTAAGGTTTTGAAAACATGTTTTAAACAATAATTGTTTTAAAGAGATCTATATCTTTTCATTGGTTTTGGTTGGAACACACTAGACACCATATTCTAATCTCCTGAAAACATTATACTCTGAATGTTTTCTATGAACTGAGATCTTCATGGCTTTTACTCGATGAACTACTAATGGAACCCCAACTTATCCTGAAAACGTGTTTATGTCTGATTCAATAAGGAAATTTTATTATTCTACATTTATTTGCATGTCCTGTAGCATCAATAGGTAGTTCTGTATTACTGAGCTTCCCAAAGCTCACTCCTTGACCCACTATTTCAGGTTGAAAGAATCAAACCAGTGTAGCTTTCGACATCAGTAAGGGAGTTCCATCGGTGTTGCTTGCGGAGTATGGTGCATGTGATTAGAGGCATGTACGTTGTACTTTGTTTTATATATGAGTTTGAAAATCTATTTTATTTCTGAATACTGATAAATTTTTACTTTTGTATTTATAAATTGATTTTATGATTTTACATGTTTTAATAAAAGTTTTAAATTTTTCCGAGATTTTTACGGTGGGTCGCTCTGGTGGCCCTAATGTGACACCCCGGATCAGATCGAGCTACCCGCATCGGTCGGTGATGTTACATAAGGTCTTCTTCATATCATCTTTCTACCCCAAAGCCTCTAGAGAAAGAGTCATCTATGCATAAAAGCCTCTGGAAAAATAGTCTCAAGCACTCAACTCTCCTCGAGAAACTGCAATATTTTGAGATGACTTTTGATAGGTTCACGTGGTCTCTTAGAGTCAAATAAAATTTTCGTTGGTCATATCCACTTAGCATGCTAGTCTACGAGTAGGGTTGTAAATGAGCTGAGTCGAGCTCAAGTATTGTTGAGCTCTACTCAACTCGAAAACTATGAAATGGAGCTTGACTCGACTCAGTTAACTCGCAAGCCTAGAATTTCCAAGCTCGAATCAAACTCGAAATCATGAACTGAAGCTCGTAAAAGCTCGAAAAGAAAAAAAATCTGAAACTTTACTCGATTAAAGCCTCAAACTCGAACCTAAACCTTAAATACCAAAAAACCTTATACTGCATTTAAAAAAAATCAACACATAAATATTATTATTATTATTAATTTAGTTTTAAAAAATAAAATCTTAATATATTATATTTTTGACTCATTAAGAGCTCGAATCGAGTCAAGTCCATTCGAATTGAGTATTCATTGAGCTTTGACCGAGTCGATCTCGAGTAGCTCGCGATCTTTCTCGTCTCATTTACAACCCTATCTATGGGTAACCATAATAACCCTACATCTAGGGTCAACTCTAAGAGTCACTATAGAATCTCTCAACCAAGACCGGGAAAATGATGAAACCTCCTCTTCCTCATTCATCTCTTATCTACCTCCTTATGGAGGCATAACACTTTGACACCGATCAACGGTGTCCTTCCACCAAGTGCGATACTCCGTCCAAACTAGAAAAGGTGAACCACCTATAGCCAACGCAACTTATTTGTTTCCATCAAAAAATTTGAAACATGACTACTTTGATTAAGATGTCCTTTAAACAATATTATAACTTTTGGAAGCATATATTGATGGACTTAAAAATTATTCAAGAATCGCATAATTTTCTTAAAATATGTTGAGTACACTAAATCTCGACGAAATTGAGTTTTTGATTAATTGTATGAATTTCTATGTTAAAATATATGATTATGATGTACTCAAAAGTGTTCGAGTATGGTAGTGATATCAAATGGACATGTTTAGAAGCATAAATGGTAACTTCATGTGCATATACGGCATAAATGGTACGAGACGTGCTAAATTTTCATCTAAAATGGTACGAGACGTGCTAAATTTTCATCTATAAGTTAATTTGGAGGTCCGAATAGGTTTTCATGTTTTGGGGCTTTTAAAGTTCACCGTACTACTAAAAGTGTTCATTTCTATTGCAAGGTACCAGTACCTACACAATGGTATCGAAAGCTAAAACATTAAAGCTCAGCTCAAAATGACATTGGTATCATTGTTTAATTTTGATAGCAGGCAAAGGATATCAATACACCTTGACCATATATTAACTTTAAAATTGAGCTTACGCCATAAAAGGCCTTCATTCTTATTGCAAAGGATTTTCCAGTAAACCCGAAAGATTGGCGGTAATAAGGAATTATATAAGAACATGTTTTAACATGTATAGTTGAAGACATGATACAGATTCTAGAGTTTCTGGTTCAATCTGCATCAATCAGGCACATGATGAAACAGAATTATAAAAAGCCTCGACAAACCTTGTTGAAGTTCCAATAATTCATAATTATGAAGAAAATGAAAATTCATTACAAATTTAAGCAACATCCTCAACTAGGAGGCACTTCAAATCTAAAACAAAGGCATCCCTTCTCAGGTTAAATGAAATCTCAAGTTCACACCTTAATGGCATACTTCCTCATTGGAAAGTACATCTCCCTCTTCTTCTCCCGCTCCGTCTTCAAAGATTGCTGTGCAAAAACATGGGACAAGAGGTCAATGCCAAAAGCAACATACCATAATTTTGCATATACTTCATAAAGACAAGCATGTCCTCATCAGATTACCATCTAAAGTTAAATTCGAGGAGCATATTTGTAAAACACTTTTCAGGTTCGACAATCAGCGATAATGTATCATCCATGCTCCATTAACATGGAACAAAGCCGACAGACACATTTGGGGTTTCATCAGCATGATCAATGTGGCTAAAGAATATAATTTTCTAGTACAATATGGACAACTAGCAAAAATATAATTTAGTCCAATCTAAAAAATCAATACATGTTCTATGGAAATAGTACTTACCAAGTACCAAAGACAAATAAATGAAGGTACATATCTCATATAGCAATGTTACAAATGGAATTTTACTGCATCAACTATCTTGAACTAAAGAGGACCATGATATTAACTCATTCATCAACTTTTCTCCAAAGAGAAGAAAGATTAAAGACACAAACTGGCAAACCAGTTAAAATAGGAGATTTCACACAAGGTATTGAGCCTTAAGAATAGCCCAAGTTCGACAAATTCTGTTCAGAATTTCTCTGGTGACCGATAAATGAAACAAAATTGAATAATTTAAGACTGTAAAAGGTAGCATCAATGTAATTCAGCTTCAAGGAAAGCAAGTTAGATCAACAGATTTGGCAACATCTCAGAAATTGAAAGCCTAATATATTATAAGAGGAAAAAAAAGATTCAATCTGAAGATACTAAAACTAGAAATTATTTAGACACCTTCTAAAATAAGAGCACTATACATGTTCATAACAACATAAACTAGAAAATTCTAAATTCAAGCAAATAAACATAGTAAATTTATAAAATGCTGATAAATCTAACAACAAAAGATGTCGCAGAACAACAGAAAGTAAAGCATAATAAACATGAAGAATAGCTAACCTGGTGCTTGGTAAGGCGGCGGCGAATAGCTCTGGTCTTCTTGGGACGAAGATCAAGAGGCAAAAACTTCTTCTTTTTATAGGCTTCTCTCAATGCAGCCTTCTGTTTCTGGGAAATCACAGTTAGGCCTGTAAACGAACCGAACGCACACGAACGAAGGTATGTTCATGTTCGTTCATTTAAAAAATAAACGAACACGAACATAAACGAACAAATTTTTTTTTGTTCATGTTCGTTTATTAAGGAATATAACTTGTTCATGTTCGTTCATTTAATAAATAAACGAACATAAACGAACACGAACATAAACGAACACGAACATAAATGAACACGAACATAAACGAACATAAACGTTGGAGACCCTACCTTCCATTGTTCTTTCATGAAAAATAGTCGACAATGCAAATCAACCAAATCTACAGTGATAAATAGCGTAAGAGCTTATTAGCAGTGATGAAATGTTTGAAGATATCAAATATTTCGATCTATCTTTTAAAGATATTAAATGATTCACACGACTTTAATTTAACGCTATAACATTTATCTTAGTGTTCCATGATTACATATGAACAATCATTTTCCGCTATTACACTCTTTTTCAGAAATTGCATAGAAACCTTTGTTTTGTTTTCTGGCAAATTCTATATATTTTTCTTTTTACTGATGCTCATATACTTCCGATTTTTACCTTTATCTTCCCATCTATTTCTAGAAAGAAGTATTATGTTTTCTTGAGTTTTAGATGTGAAGATACCCACAATAACTTTACATATCAACTATTAAGTCAAATAAAACAGAGAAAGAGATGAAAACAGACATGTAAAACTTCATATTGCACTATAATATAACTTGTTTTGAATCTTTCAGAGATCGTCTCCACTCTCCAGTGAACAATAAGGTTTGGGAAAAAAAGGGGAAAATGAATATAAGTGTGAGGTGCCTCACAGGTTAACATATTGGATTTAATCTCCAAATAAAATTGGGTTAATTATGGAGTTGGTCATCAAAATATCAGATTAATATTTTTAAGATACTTACAAATTGGTCACCAAAATTGATTTAAGAAGATTGTGTTAAACATAAATGAATGAACATAAACGAACATAATCAAACGAACATAAATGAACATAACCAAACGAACATAACCGAACGTTCACGAACGTAAATGAACGAACGAGACCTATGTTCATGTTTGTTCATTTAATTAAACGAACAAAAAATCTTGTTCATGTTCGTTCATTTAATAAATAAACGCACATAAACGAACTTCCCGCCGCACGGTTCATGAACGGTTCGTTGAACGTTCAGTTCATCTACAGGCCTAATCACAGTCAATACTTGTGCAATCGATAGCCTCACCACCTTACTAAACACCCAAAACCAAAAGGGAAATCAAGACCCATATAAAAGAAATTAAAGGCAAAAAGGAAATGAAGATGATATAAAGCTTACATCTTGGAGAGCTTGTTGGGGGCACCACCAGTAACTTTCGCTACACGAAGGAGAGAAAGTTCAGCTTTTAAATCCTTGAGCTGACTCAATAGTTCAGTCTTCGATTTGTTCCTTAGCTCGTGTACCTTGATTCTAGCTACAAACAATCCCAAACAAAATTAAGTTAAAAGAAGGATTAATTTGACATGTATAAAAATGACATTTGTCGTAACCGGTTTTCGTCCGGGCACGAAATATTAAATTTGGCGGGGAAATTGATGTGAATAAATAATTTTGAAAATAATTTGTGAGTCGCCATCGACCTTTTGGATCAGGTAGGTCGAATACCTAAAAAATTTTCTTTTAAAAGAGTTTTTTTTTAAAAAACATCAATTAAAAAAAATGAACTGATCTGCGTTTTATAACCAAAAATTCGTTCTTAATAATAAAAAAGGATTCGTGGTCGGTTACGTTTAGGGAAGGATTAGCACCCCTACAACGCCCAAAATTGGTACTTTTTAATTATAAATTGTCTCTATTATTAAAATTATAAAAATTCAAAAATATATTTAATTTATAATCCTATTATTTCAAAATTATATATAAAAAAATATTTATTTATTTAAAATATCAGAAAAGAACTTCTAGGTGCCTTAAGACAGCTCTTTTCTTTGATATTGATAAATATTAATTTAAATAATATTGTTTAAAAAATATCAGAATAGGACATCCAGTTGTATTAAGACTGTCCTTTTCTTCGATATTAAAAATAAACATTAAAAAATTTATTCCAGATTTATTATATATATATTTATGAATACATAAAAATATTTAAAAATATAAACAAATAAAATTAAAACAATAAAAATACCACTAAAACAATATATTTTAAAAGCAATAAAATAAATGAAAACTTATAAATTAAATGACTAAATTATAGTAAAATTAAAAACTTAATTCAATATTAATCAAAGTATTAGGGATTAAACATGCTATTTTCTTATTTAATAATTTAGTGACTAAAATAAAATTATCTAAAATTCGGATATTATAATAAAATAAATTAAAAATATAAACTAAGGATTAAAATATTATTTATTAAAATTGAGGGATTAAATCTGTTATTTATCCTAAATATATTATTTTAATATAAAGGACTAAAATGAATAAAATTAAAATTAAAGAACCAAATTAAAAGGATTATAAATTTGATTTAGTGACTAAAATGTAAAGTTTACAAATTGGGATGACTGCGGACGTGGTTTAACTATTCTATAATTACGCGCATAGTCCTTCCCAAAACGACGTCGTTTGGGAAGGGCTATTTAATGCCCAAGACAGCCGGCCCTTCGGGCCATCTCTTTCATTTTTTAATTTTCATTCTCTCTCTAACTGAGAGAGAATGAACAAAGCTCTCCCCTCTCTCTAGCTTCCCTCACCGGAGGGAAGCCGGTCACCGGACGGCAACCGTCTGCCGCCGTGACCGTCACCGCCGGCCACCGCATCCGGTGGCCGGAAAATTTTATTTTTATACTATTGGATAGATCGGACCGTCCTAAGGACGGTCCCGGTGTTCTCTTCCCTTAAAAAGCTCTGAATCGGAGCGAATCTACAAAAATACCTTCGGCGTTTCGAAGGTTCTGGCGAGATCCGGTGGCGGTTGGGGTTCTCCGATGACAGTAAGTTTCTCTTCTTTCTTTTTCTTTTCTTTCTTTTCTTGGTTGCTGGATGTTTGACTGAGATCGTTGGTTTAGTAGTTTTTTTTTTCTTTCTCTGTTTTTTTTTCTGTCTTCCTTCTTTTCTTTTTTTTTCCTTTTTTTTTTTTTTTCAGGTTCGGGTGGTGGCTTTTATAGCCACCACCGTTGTAGCTGTCGGACCGGTCCGAAGAAGGGCTCTCGGTGAGTCACCGGACTACCAGTGGTGACTCACCCCGTAGCTATGGCGTGGACGGCTGGTGTTCTAGCTTCTGGAGTCTTCGGTTGGGACGTGGCAGCGGCGGAGGTGGCGAGAAAGTGTCGGCAGCCGCTTGGAAACGGGGGCGGCGCCGCGTGGCCCTAGGGTATCAAACCCTAGGGTTTCCCTCTGGAGCCATCTGGACCGTTGGATCTTGCCAGATCCAACGGCAGCAAGCTGAGGCGGCTGGTTTAGATTAGGGTTAGGAAACCCTAACTGGAAACCCCAAATGTTTAGGGTTTCTGGTTTGATTTGGACCGGTTCTGGTTTGTTTGTAACTGGGCCGGTCCAGTTGTAATTGGTCTGTAATTATTATTTATATATATATGTTTAATATATATTTAATAATAATAATAATAATGATGATAATAATAATAATAATAATAATAATAATAATAATAATAATAATAATAATAATAATAATAATATTAATAATAATAATATGGATAAAAAATTAATATCTTCAGCTGCCCCTCTTTGCTCATTCTTGTGTTAACAAGAATAGGGCAAAGATGAAAAGATAATAAATTTTTTTATCCATTTTGACTTTACTTTGATCATAATGGAGATATTGAATAAATTCTTCTCTCTCTCCAGATGAGTTCTTCTCATTATGAACTTTCTACTGGGGATAATGCTGACCTCTTTCTTTCTGTGATAGAGTCATTCAAAAGGTTGAATAAGCTTTTGATGAGTTCTTCTCATTATGAACTTTCTCTTCTTTCTTTAGATGATGAATTCAGACAAAAGGTTGAACAAATTCTTCTCATTATGAACTTCTTCTTCCTTCTTCAGATGAGTTCTTCTCATTATGAACTTTCTCTGGCAAAAATAATCCATCAAGTGATGAATTCAGGTAAAAAAAGGTTGAACAAATTCTTCTCATTATGAACTTCTTCTTCCTTCTTCAGATGAGTTCTTCTCATTATGAACTTTCTCTGGCAAAAATAATCCATCAATTTGATGAATTCAGAAAAAAAGGTTGAACAAATTCTTCTCATTATGAACTTCTTCTTCCTTCTTCAGATGGGTTCTTCTCATTATGAACCTTCTCTGGAAAAGATAATCCATCAATTTGATGACTTCAGAAAAAAGGTTGAACAAATTCTTCTCATTATGAACTTCTTCTTCCTTCTTCAGATGAGTTCTTCTCATTATGAACTTTCTCTGGAAAAGCTGATCCATCAAATGATTGATTCAGGTAAAAGGTTGAACAAGTTCTTCTCATTATGAACTTCTTCTTCCTTCTTCAGATGAGTTCTTCTCATTATGAACTTCTCTGGAAAAGCTGATCTTTCAAATGATAGATTTGAATCTTTGCTAAAATCTTTGCAATTCCTGTTAGAAATTCAACAAGAATAAAAATGAATGAAAATGCATCTATTTTTGCAAATGCCTAAATATGATGCATGAATATTAAGTTGTTTGATTTCAGACTGGTGAATTGAGTATTTCTTCAATTGTAAAAACCCAATATATCTGTCTTCTTCAAATCAAAGAATCTATCATTTTTGCCAAATGCAGATGTAGATATAATGTCACAAAACCTCTTGAGAATAAAACTCAATAGTATAAACTCTTGAAAAGCTTGCATTCAGGCAACATGTTGATTCTGATAACAACTCATCTGATTATGAAGTGACCTTTCAAGATGATTTCACAGATATCGATAGTTCTTTTAATACCGAGAAAACTTGAATTCTGATTCTGATGAGGAGAATAAACTCAATAGTATGACTAAGGCTGTTGATGTACTTCTTCTAGTAAAAGATAGGAAGTCATTATGCAATGATCCCAATTACAAGCAAAGGCAAAACTTGGGCTATGATTTTTGAAAAGGAAGAAGCAGAAGAAACTTGAAAATAAGCTTCTTAATGAATATGATCATGCAGTTCATCTTTCAATTCCAACGATCGGTTCTGGGGTTCCTACTGAATCAGATCATATAACTCAAAGAACACTTCCAGAAGATGCTATGAACACATTCATGTTCCGAATTCAATGATTGGTTCTGCCAAACCAGATCAGATAACTCAAAGAACACTTCCAGAAGATGCTATTGGCAAATTCATCTTCTAAACTCACTGATTGTTCTGTCCAACCAGATCAGATAACTCAAAGAACACTTCCAGAAGATGCTATGAACACATTCATCTTCTAAACTCAATGATTGTTCTGCCAAACCAGATCAGATAACTCAAAGAACACTTCCAGAAGATGCTATTGACAAATTCATCTTCTAAACTCAATGATTGTTCTGTCCAACCAGATCAGATAACTCAAAGAACACTTCCAGAAGATGCTATTGGCAAATTCATCTTCTAAATTCAATGCTTGATTCTGTCCAATCAGATCAGATAACTCAAAGAACACTTCCAGAAGATGCTATTGGCAAATTCATCTTCCAAATTCAATGCTTGATTCTGTCCAATCAGATCAGATAACTCAAAGAACACTTCCAGAAGATGCTATTGGCAAATTCATTTGTTCTATTTAATGTTTGGACTGGGATATCACAGTACTTATTCGATGTAAAGCCAGAATTTGTAGATTCGAAGCATTTCCATGCTGCTACACTAAAAAGGGCTATATTCTTAATTCTGCCAATTAAGAACAGAGTTTCTCTTATTCTGCTTCCTCCATGTGCTGATGCTTTTCCATTGACAAAAAAATAATGGCCTTCTTGGAATCCAAGAACAAAGTTGAATTGTTTATAAACATGTACAGGAAGTGCCAAATTGACAGAAAGGATCTGTAAGGTTCTTGAAGCTTATGTCAATGAGCCACCTTCGAGTATCGAAAAGTATGTTCTTGATGAGTGCTGAAAGTGGAATCTAGTATGGGTTGGAAGGAATAAAGTTGTTCCACTTGAACCTGATGAAGTGGAAATGTTTCTAGGTTTCCTAAAAACCCTACACAAGGATCTGTATAGAGATATGTTTCCCAGTAATATCAATGTCTTGTTTCTTTTTGCTGGAATCAGTGCTGCAAAGATCACCTTCTATTGTCTTAGTATATTTTTGAAAACAGATGTGCAAGAACTGAATGGTGATCGGTTGGAGCAATTGATGAGTAGATTTGGCGGATTCGACCTTGTTGTCGGTAGCATCCCGTGTAACAATCTTGATGTTCATGGCTTTAAGATGGTGATGATTTGCTTACTTTGTATTCCATGTATTTAAAAGTATTAACATAAAGTGATAT